AAAAAAAAAAAGGGAATGTCTGAAAGATGATGATGGCAACATATGTACAAATGTTCTTAATACAATTGGTGTATGGATTGGTACAAGAACTGCAAGAGCGCTCAATAAAATGTTTAAAAATTGAAAAAAAATTGTTGTTTTGCTCTTTTAAAAATTTTCTGTTTTTCTATTGTAGTTTTTCTCTTTTATGTTTTATTATTGTTTTTTAAATTTTATTTTTGTATGTTTTTCTTTATATGAAGTCCAGGACAGGTAAATCTAGAGGTAGTAACTGTATTAATAGTTACTTAGGGTTATGGCAGGGAAGGTTAGGGAAAAATGAGGAGCTAATAATGAGAAAAAAAAACAAAGAAAATGTTCTAAAATTGATTGTAGTGATGATTGCATAACTCTTTTATATTATGTTTAAAACATTTAATTAAAATGTAAATTAGATGCCAACAAAACTTTACAGGAAATTCAAGCTGTTGAGACAAATTTATGGAACAAATTATAATCAGAAAAGAGACTTATATTGACTAATATGATCCACAGAGCAAGGTCTAATCAAAACCCTGGCTTGTGAGGGGATCTGCCGAGACCGTTCAATTCAAGGCAGAAGGAAGGTCTGCTCAAAGGTAACAGTGACCATTTTGGGGGATCCCAAAGGAATAATATTGATATATTTTTCTCAAAGCATACCGGACAATCATGATAACTTACTAGGAAGAAATTTTAAGAAAACTGAAAACCGCATTGATGAGGGGGAAAAAAGGCCAGGCAAGCTACACCAAGGAATTTTTTCCCCCAGGATAACAAGGTACGTTCTCATTCCTTAAGGACAGTAGCAAGACTCTCCTATGAGATTTTCATTGGAAAACCTTACCCCCTACAGCCTACTACAGCCCTCCTGCAGCCTATTGCCCCTCTGTCTTTTTTTAATTCCAAATATTTCAAAGTAAACAATTCAAAGTCTTCCTTTGATATGGTCTAAATCAAAAAGGGTAGATAGAATTCTTTGGGGGAAGGGCTAAAGAGAAGAAATATTGTCTTCAGAAGTATATAGACCTAGATGGGGGATATGTTGAGAAGCAATAGCTTTATATTTTGATATTTTTGTTTTATAAAGGTTTCTAGGATTTTGCAACAATACTTTAGAGACTTAAGCTTGTCCTTAAAGAGAATGTGACACAGCACCACCTTGTGGTATTTTACTGAAATAGTACTTCAGTAAATAACATTATGTCTTCAAACTATAATCCAAGAATTTAACATAATTCTGAGACATGGCCCACTTTTAGAGCTAAATGTATTTGCACCATTATTTGACTACCACTGAAACTGGTAATATGAACTCTCAGAGAAGAAACAAAGTAACTGTGTTTCAACTTAAAACGGTCTTGTTATTTCATGTTTAAAAGAACCCTTAGCAGAGATTATTGCTTAGAGATAGATAGATAGACAGTCTAAACATAATTAACAGATCATCCATATACCACATCTCAAGCCATAGTATGTGTTTTGCATACCTACAAGTACCCACACTCACATACAAATAATTGTCACTTCTCTTTTTCTCAGCAATTTCATTTGGCATGTAATTCACATATACAATTCCATAGTTCAATCGCATCCAGAAGAGTTGGACAATCATCACCACAATGAGTTTTTGAATGTTTTCATCAATCTTGTACTCATCCTTATTAGCTCTCTATTCCCCCCAGCTTCCTCTGCCATGCCCACAAGGAACCATTAAACCATTAAGGTATTATCCCTATAGATTTATCTGTCCTGAATTGTATACACAGAAAAGCACCACCAACAAAAAACCCAAAACTAACCAGAATAACAAAGTAATACAGATCAACAACTTCAATAGAAAAGTAGAGGATATTAAAAAGCAGAACAAATTTAAATGGGTCATAAGGGAGATCAAATGGTAGGATGCTAAATTTTAACCCAGCAGTGTAGACAATTCACTTTCTAATGCATTCTGCAAGGCTACTGTCACTTCTTTATACCACTTTATATGCTCCATGCAAAAGGTTCATCCCAGGAAGATAAACAAAACCAATGGAACAGGAAAGATGTCTTTCCCAATAAAGGCAAGACAAGTCACTGTGAAGAAAAATACACACAGACATACAGATATGTATAGACAATTCAATTCTATTAATACCTTGGCACATATATGCTGGAGTAAATAAATAAATAGATAGATAGATAAATAAATAAATAGTTCGAAAAGAAAAGGCTTTTTGTTTAAAGTCAAGAGAGATTATGGGACTTAGAAAGAAAACCTGAGTCCCACCCAGAACTGCTGAGAGGGCAGGCTTTACATTTGAAGGGAAAGACTGGAAAGAAAAAGACTTTTTAGCTTGAGAAATTTTTGAGCAGTTTGCTATTAGCTGTATCAAAGCAGGACAGTTAGAAAAAGCCCCCTTCTAGGACCAAAAGTTAAAGGGGGCTAGTGAGCTTGATGTACTCATTACAGAAACCACCTGGATCCACTTACTGAGTGGCTTAACCACTGGGCCTGCTGGTCTGAAGTGTAGGGAGGCATGTGTGGACTCCCAAAGTTTGCAGCTGGTACCAACAGACCTAGCGTGGAAGGCTAGGCCTGAGATGACCACACTGACTCCGAGAGCTGGTGCACATTGCTGCAGTTTTGATGATTGGTCTACTGCAGACTGCACTTTGCTATGCATGCAGATGGCCTAAGGCCCAATCGGAAAGGAAGACTCCGCACATCAAGTCTTCCACTGGGTTGCTAGGGGCAGGCAATTAATTTAACATTTGGAATATTTAAAACGGAGGAAGATAAAGGCATGAAGTGTCCAGCGTACAAGTTCTTATGGTATGTTTCACCCAAAAAATAGATTGGTGGGGGGGGGGAGTTAATCCTTCAGTGTAAAAGATAAAATGGCCAAAAGAGTCACGGAGTGGTCTACAGGGGCAGTGAATTATTTTATGTGGATTTTATAGCCATATGTATTTTGTTATTTTTTATTAATCATTTTATTGGGAGCTCTTACAGAAATATTAACAGCCCCCAATTCAGTTAGATAAAGCATATTTACAATTGCTACTACCATCAATTTCAAAACATTTTCTTTCTTCTTTAACGCTTTGATATCAGCTTCCCTTTAGCCCCGCCCTCCCCAACCTTAGCCTCGAGGAACCGTATTACATTAATATTATTATTATTATTTGCTGCATCTTACACCATCAATTGTATCCATTCCCCTGTAACTCTGTTATTCATTCCCCTTAAGTGGGGTTACATAATCATCATTGCTGCCAGCTCTCCCTTCCTCTACTTTTTCCCCCACTCCTCTTCCGGTACCCTCAGGGAATTATTACTGTTTCTCAAGGGTTATCTATCTTAGCTTTTATGTATCCAAGGCTTATTTTTACAAATGAACATATGCAGCTCTAACAAGATTAACAAGATGAAACAGACCATAATAGTAAGATGAGGAAAGATTAAAGAACCAGAGGATAGTTATGTGTTTCATCAGTGCTACACCGCTCCCTAGATTTATCACCCCTTCTGTGTGGCCCTTCTGCGAGGGACTTTCCAATTATCTTACAGGTGGGTTTTGGGTCTCCACTTTGCCCATGTATAACCATATTCTTTTGGTCTTGCGAAAGTCTATGATGTCATCTCCAACTTCATTTTTATCACCAAGACCATATTTTCCAACTTTTTTTTTTTTGCATTCTAAGCATCAATAAAAAATGAGGAGCTGATACCAAGGGCTCAAGTAGAAAGCAAATGTTTTGAGGATGGGTGAAACAAATGTACAAAAGTGCTTGACACAATGGATCTATGTGTGGATTGTGATAATAAGAGTTGTACAAGCCCCCAATAAAATGATTTAATTATTAAAACAAATTATCCATGAATCTTGATTGCATGTTTCATCAATTTCCGACAGAAGGCATGGGTAGAATTGTTTAATTCAATTTATTCTTCACTAGCTTTATTGGTTGGGCATATACATTTGAATAGTTGTATTGATAGGATTATATCTATCCGATTTCAAGGAAATCCAATTCATAGTCAGCATTGTACTTCAAAATAGATCTTGAAATGCCCCTTTTGATGATTGCAGTGCCATTCCTCTTGATTGTCATTCCTAACAGAGAAAACCCTATAATTTTCTGATTCAAAATGCCCAATACTAGTCCATTTCAGCCTATTAACACTTAGGATATCAATCAAGCAATCTTTATTTATTCCATTTAATTTTTAATGTCTTCCAATTTTCCTAGTCATACATCATACAGTTCAAGTTCGGATTATTAGATTCTTGCAGCCATTTCTTCTCATTTTGAGTCATTATCAGCAAATGAAGGTCCCAAAGGCTTGACTCCGCTAAGCTTTACTCCGTTCATGTTATTATAGTTGACTCTACTTTGAGAAGGCAGCTCTTTCCTCAGTAAGAGTTTGAGTGTCTTATCTCTGACAATGTTCTCTTTCTATTCATTAGGCCGTCAGTATCTGACAATATTTCAATGCAACCCATAGGCTTACAGTGACTAATTTCTCCAAAGTGAACAGCTAATTCCTTTTCATGGTTTATTCTTGTCTGGAAGCTCTGCTGAAACTTGTTCACGTTGGTATTTGAAATTGCTTCCAGCATCACAGCCACACATGAGCCACCACAGTTTGACAAGATGACAGACAAGTGGTGGTCTACCTAGATACCTAGATATCCAATATCCTGTTAAGCACAGGGCTCGGGGACTGCGGAAGAGTGACAGAGAGTAAAAAAATTAAACATATTCTTTACCTGATAAACTGTACTGCTTGGTTTCTACTATTAATGACTTGTGAAGTAATATTAAGGGTGGTGCGATGAGATCCTTCTCCACCTTCTAACATTAATATCACATTCAGCATTTGATGAAAAATATAACTGATAACCTAAAAGAGAAAATTCAATTCGAAGTAGGCTAGCAAATCCAAGCGCCTCAAAGGTGGTACTACAGGTGACAGTCAATCATTATTATCCATCTGAAGTTAAGGCAGGTTAACAGGGGTTCTAGGTGAACGATGGTAATGTGTTCCTTGGGCCATTACCAGGTATTTGACAACTGCATATTAAATACAGTGAACGATGTACACATACCTTGAGTATTATACTTTTAGGACCTACTATATGGGATCAAAGTGAGACTAAAACCTTGAAAAGTAGGAAATGTAGACAGTAGTGAGTTTGGTAGTGGGGAGAATTATTTCATAAGTGGGTGACAGTGGTTGGGATAATTTGAAGAATACAAGAAATGTGAATGAATTGTACATGTAGAGATATTTGAATTGGTATATGCTGTCCACTTTATATTGTCAATAACAATAAAAATAAACTAGATTATTAAAACAGAATTAGGACATTAATATGAATTCTATCACATCTGTACTTTAAACACAAAAGAATGATAAATCATAAAATATGGAGTATGTTTAAAGAAAAGTAGACTGTCCAACATGTGACTGACATTATTTTATCAATCCTTTCAAGAGAGCTGTAGGAAAGGTAAGACTTTTATATCTTTTGTCTATCTTTGGTCTAAATGAGAATTCATAGTGAAGTAGGAAGTGGAGCCAGAATTAGAATCCAAATACCCCACCACTATCGTCATAATCACCACACTATTGCCCCTGTAGATTATCTGAAATGAAAATAATCTAGAAAATGAAAGTATCACTAAATCATATCCTTTCGACATTTTCTCATTGTATATTTTGTATACTTTTAACTCAGCTAGTTATTGTATTTGATTCTTGCTTCCTTTACCTTATTATTTCCTTCTTCGTGGATCGGGGAGCACAGCAAGTACAATCCATGATAGGCAAGTTCTGGAATGTATTTTGCTTCCATGAGGTTTCTAAATAAAGAATGCAAAAGATCAGTGAATTAATAGACCTTAGTATGGAATACTTCTTAACCCTATAAGTCATATTTAAATAAATACATTTTCTTTTTACCAATTATGATAGAATGGCATTTGTATTTTCACCAGAGAAATGATTATACTACATTAAATTTGAACACTGGAAGATTTAATGGCTCACCTGATTTGTGAAACATGAACTTCATCATATACTTGCTCAAAATTAGTTAATGCAACAAAGATCTGGAAAACAACACAAAGAGAAGACTGAATTTTTCCTGGTCATTGTAAATATTGCCTATAGTTTATGCTGTCCCAAGGTCCTTGCATTTTTTTTTTCTCCTCACTGTCACCACAATTCTGACTCATCTCGACCCTGTAGGAGAGACCAGAGCTGGCCCTTTGGGTTTCCCAGGCCATAAATCTTCACAGGAACAGAAAGCTTCATCTGTCACCCACAAGATAATTTTTACTTACCTCTACACAATTCTGAACACATTGTGGCTTTTCTTTGAGTGAAAACTTGGGCAGAAGCCTTAAGAAATTCTTGAAAAGGCAGAAGATGCCATTTCGAATATGAGAAAGGTCCCGGGCAGAAAAACAAATATCCTCCTCCTCCTCTTGTTCTTGTAAAATTATATCCATCTAGGTTGTGAAGAAATGTATAGGTAACTTTCTAATAATGCCTAACACTTTGTCCATTTGTCCTCAATGAATCTAAACCAAGTCCAGTTAAACTTGAGAGTAGCTGAAGCTTTGAACTGATAAAACTGACCAAATCCTCTGATTATTCCAGCCTTCCATAACCACACTGTGAATTGTTGGACCTGATGAGGGCCAAAATAGCTCCTAGCCCTGTAATTTTCTGTCAATGAAAATATTCCTTTGTTTCTTAGAAATTTTAAAATCAATGAACCAGTATTTCCTGTGTACTCCATGATAATTTTGAACTGATGTCATTCTATTATGCTCTCATGCACAAAAGTCCTCAGAATGTTTCAACCACCCTCACTAATGATGAGATGATATGCTAAATGCGCCAGGTAGAATGCTTTCTTGTACACTTGGAGAGTAAGGATAAGAGATGATCAGGAACTTGGAAGATAGCTAGTATAAATGTACTCAATATTATTGTACTAAGTCTAAGAGACAACGTAAAACCATACTGGATAAACTGGCAATGTTACAAGACCTTCTAGTAATTATCAAAATACCTGAAATCACATTTTAATCTAAGGTCAATCTCTAAACAAATTAAAAAATAAATTTAAGGTCAATCTCTAAATAAATCAAAACCATGGGCAGTAAAGTATATATTTTATTACTCCAATTACCTCTTACCTCAATATCCTCTCTTCTCCGTGGTTTTACTCTTTTTCTGTTCCCTCTTGGGTTACCCTGAGAGCTCTTAGGTTGTTCTTTCTTTCTTTTACGATTCAAGTTAGACTCCTGGGGCCAGCTCTTCTTTAGAATCTGAACGCATTTGTCAAACATCACTGGATGGAACACTTGATTGGCTACACTACCTATTTATGAGGAGTAAAAAGTCTGTTAATTTCACTGTCTGGAAAAGTTCCTATAAAAACAGATGAAAAGTAAAGAAGCAAAAACCAGCCTTCCTGTTGACTTTGAATTACACTGATCTTTTACCAGTGGTACCATATCATCTCAGCTTTAGTGGATGATCAACAGTACTAAATTAAAGATGCTATATGATTTCCACATCTTGAAATGATGGACTAGCTGGTTTGAAAACTGTCTTTCTAACAGTATACAATCATTGTAAAACACTGATCAACAAGCAGACCACTATAATAAACCCATAAAATACAATAGCAAGCAGTAAGGGGTAAAAACAAAGAAAGTTTAAAACAAAAAAATAACAAAAGTAATTCACTTCTTATCAGTAACCACTACAGTGAAATGTAAATGGACTAAATGATCCAATCAACAGGCAGTAACAACATTGATAAAAAGAAAACATGACCTAGCTACCTGCTGAGACCTAGCTACATCCTGAGCTCCAAGGACACAAACAGGCTGAAAGTTAAAAAATGAAAAAGTATATATTTCCCACACAAAAAAAGGGGATGGTAACCATAATAGTAGACAAAGTAAACTTTAAGACAAATCTGTTAGAAAAGATAAAGATGTATAGACAAGCTTGTGCGACCTGAGGATGGCTTCACAAGTTCTCTCTGTAATACACTTGTCTCCGTCTCATTAGGGTACCTTCAAAAACAGATCCCATAAAAAGCGGCTTCCAAGGGGATTAGCTTGGACAGTTAAATTCAAGGCAGAAAGGACCTCTCAGTAGGCTATGGAGAGTCTTTTCTTTTTCAATTTAATTCCAAGGGGGCAATCTTGATAGCTTTCCTGGAAGGACAAAGGGGTAACCATAGGAGCTCACTGGGGAGAAGTTTTAAGAATATGGGAAATTGCATCAGTGGGGAAAAGGCCAAGAAACTTGTACCAAGGAATGTCCTTTTGCCCCACATCAGTGTCCCTTCTCAGGAAGATAGCAAGGGCTGTCCTACAATAATTTACTTGGAAATCTTACTCTTCCCAACCAATAGCGCTGACATCGCCTTTTCGATTTTCTTTTGTTCTTCAAAATCAAAGAACGTTTCAAAGGAACACAATTTGAGTACGGCCAGAATGCCCAAACTTCTGATGAGTCTTCAAAACTAGAATTGAGAAATATTAATTTGTTCAAGCAATGAAACATCTGGAACAATAGCTGCAATTGTAGCACCACCTGGTTAAATTTAGGATAAGCCACAGTCATTCAGCAAGACCCATCTTTTTAGTTTGGTAGCGTCCAAAGAGGAGAATGTGACGGGCCTATGCTGAGACCCATCCCGTTTTCTTTCAAGTCCTTCCTGATGGCAAGAGTCTCTGCAATTCCTTCAGGAATATAACATTCTTTGGGATTACAATTTTCCTAAAAAGAGGCAGTTCTCATAGCTTCCGCTTGATTTTTCCTATCATAACGCTGCCAAACACAACCTTTTTTTTTTTAAAGTGTCTTTGTTTTTAAGCTTGATCCTGGGATTACTTTGGATAGAGGTTCAGAAAATTACATTGGAGAGACTATGTGAGCTCTTGATTCTTAGATAGGGTGTTTCACTATATTTTAAGCTATTGTTTTTAGGTGTGGTCCAGTCAGTTCCAACTCTGATCCAATGTACAACACAAAAAAATACTGCCTGGTCCTGTGCCACCCTCACAATCATTCTTCTGTCAATTGAGCCCACTGATGCAGCCGCTGTGTCAATCTATCTTGTCAAAGGTCTTCCTCTTTTTTGCTGCCATGCTACTTTACCAGGCATTACATCCTTCTCTGGGACGGGTCTCTCCTAACATGTACACAGTATGCAAGATGAAACTGTTGTTCTTCCAAGGTGGATTTGTTTGTTCTTGTGGTACGTTCCAATAGTTTTCACCAGCACCATCATTCAGATGCATCGATTCCTCTTTGGTCTTTTTATTCAGTGTGCAACTTTTTCACACACATGGCACATGGTCTGATTCAGGCTCACCTTAGTCCTCAAAATAACATCTTTGCTTTTCAACACTTTAACAAGGTCTTGCGGCAGATGTACTCAATGGAATGCATCTTTTAATCTCTTGACTGCAGCTTCCATGTGCACTGATAGTGGATCTAAGCAAGACGATTTTTAATGGATAAGCATGGTAAAGAGTGGTATATGGCTTATGCTCTGTATCTCAAAAACTAGTTAATAGTGAAAACTGGTGCAAATATTGTAATCGGTAGGTCGAACACCCACAAACAAGTCTCACTGCCATCAAGTCAATTCTGACTCCTAGTGACCATGTAAGACAGGGTAGACCTGTCCCTGTGGGTTTCCAAGACTGTAATTCTTTACAGGAGGAGAAAGCCTCATCTTTCTCCTGTGGGGCAGCTGGTAAACTCGAACTGTTGACTTTGGAGTTAGCAGCCTAATGCATAACCCCTACGACACCAAGGCTATGCAATGACATAGGTAGTATGCATAAAAATATACATATAAATATATGTATAAAATATACAAAACCTATTAAAAAGGCAAGAGGAGAGGGAACAAGGGACAATATTTATATGGGACCAGGAGGAAAGATGGCAAAGACTTAATCATATTAATAATTCCTTTAAGGATTGCCAGAATGGATTTTAACAAGCATGACTTCACTGTATCTGTTTTGCAAAAAAATCCTTAATAGGAAAATACAATTGGACATAAGATAAATGCAGGAAAAAAAATGTAACAAAAGCATTGTCACAAGACAATGTAGACTAAATGACAAAGAATGTAACACAATACTAAAGGGACCAATAAAGACATAATTCCTGAAAGGCCAATTCATCAGAAGATATAACAGTCAGAAATATCTATGTAGATTTCCAAAATGTAGTTTCTTATGATCCACATAGTCAAATGCTTTTGCATCATCAACAAAACACTAGTAAACATCTTTCTGGTATTCTCTACTTTGGAGCAAGATCCATATGACATCAACAACAATATCCCTTGCTCCACGTTCTCTTCTGAATACTGCCTGAACCGGTGACACGGCTGCCTATCAATGTACTGCTGTATCCGTTGTTGGATAATCTTCAGGAAAATTTTACTTGCGTGGTATATCAATATTATTCTAGAGTTTAAGCCTTCAGTTGGGTCACCTTTCTTTGTAATGAGTACAAATATGGCTCTTTTCCAGTAAATTGACCAAGTAGCAGCCTTCTAAATTTCCTAGCATAAGTGTGTGAGTGCTTCCAGTGCTTCATCAGCTTGTTGAAATACTTTAATTGGTACTTCAGCAATTCATAGAGTCTTGTCTATGGTTAATGTTTTCAGTGCAGCCTGAACTTTTCCAGTGCCATTGGTTCTTGCACCTATGCTACCTCTTGAAATGCTGGAATGTGGACTAGTTCTTTTTGGTACAGGACTGTGTATTCTTTCCATCTTCTGTGGATGCTTCCTGCATCATTCAATATTTTCCACATAGAATCCTTCAATGTTGCAAATCAGGCTTATATTTTTTCTTGAGTTCCTTCAGTGTAAGACATACTGAGCATCTTCTTCCTTTTTGGCTTTCTAACTCAAGGTCATTACACATTTCATTATATTTGACTTTGATAAGTTTCTCTGTGATGTCATTATTTTTCCATTTGCTTTATTCTATGATTAAGAGCAAGTTTCAGAGGCTCTTCTGACATCCAATTGATCTTTTCTTTCTTTCCTGTATTTTTAATGGCCTTTTGCTTTCTTTATGATATTCCTCGTGTCCTCCCATAGCTCATCACGTCTTTTGTTATTAGTGTTCAATGCGGCAAATCTGTGAAGATGCTCTTGAAATCCACGTGGGATAAACTAAAGGTCATATTTGGTTCTCGTGGACTTGTTTTAATTTTCCTCAGCTTCAACCTGAACTTATGAGTAACTGGGTGGGTCTGTTCCACAATCAGCCACTAGTCTGGATTTAGCCACTGATATTGATCTTCTCGATCATTTCTTCCCACCAGTGTAGTGAATTTGATTTCCATCTATTTCAGCTAGAGAAATCCATGTATATATTCACAGTCTTGTGTAGCTGAAAAAGGCATTTGTTATGAACAAGTTGTTGATCCAGCAAAATTCTATCACTTAATTTCCAGCTATGTTTCTACACCGTGGCCATATTTTCCAACTACTGTTCCTTCCCATTTCCAACTTTTGCATTCCAATCACCAATAACTATCCATGCATCTTGATTGCATGTTTGATTAACTTCAGACTGAAGACATTGCAGAATTCTTCAAATTCTTCATTATTCGCTTATTAGGTGGTACCTAAATTTGAATAATTGTATTGATTAGGTTTCTTTATACAAGATAGATATAATCCTATTACAGACAGCACTGTACTTCAAGATAGATGCTGAAATGTCCTTTTTGACTAAGAAGGAGATGCTATTCCTCTTAGCTGTGCCATTCCTAGCATAGTACATGGTATGACTGATTCAACATGGCCAATACCAATTCATTTCAGTTTACTAACACTTAAGATATTTATTTGGCAAGTTTCATTTCATTTTTAACAACGTCCAATTTTCTTAGATTCATACTTTGTTCATTCCAAGTTTTCATTATTAGACTTATGTAGCTGCTTCTTCTCATTCCGAGTAGTGCCCCGTTGGTAAATGAAGGTCAACTCTGGCAAGCTTTATTCATGTCATTATGGTTGTCTCCACTTTGAGAAGGCAGCTCTTCTTCAGTCAGACTTTGAGCCTTCCGACCTAAGAGGCTCTTCTTCTGGTAGTATCTCTTAAAATGCTGTGCTTCGATTCACGAGCCCTCAAGTATCTGACAGTATTTGATGCTATCCATAAGATATTCCGCAGTTCATTCCTCCACAGGAGACACAGCTGATTCCTACTTCATAATGTGGTCTTGTCTGGAGACTCCACTGAGATCGGTTCACTTTGGGTTACCCTGCTGGTATTTGAAATACCTGTGATGTAGCTTTGAGCACCACAGC